ACATCCCTCCGTGTGGAAACATCGTGCCCGGTGTGGGGCAATTCCCCCGCCCCCGGGGTGCGGCCTGTCAGCAGGTCTGCCCCAGGGCGCCCCCCACCCCCGGGGGGCAGAGACACCCCCGCGTGTGTCCGCCTCAGCCCCCCTGCAGGGCTGGGACCCCTGTCCCCAGGCGGGGCCACGCTGGTGGGGGAGGCTCTGCCTGCTGGTGGGGCGCCCCTGCCGCCCCTCCATCGCTGCGCTCCTTGCCAAGGGAGAGCACTGACAGCTTTGTTAAATGGAGACCAGAGGGTTGTATTAATCCGGTGGCTCGGTGTGTTAGGGCTTTTATGGCCTCTTCAGGGTGTGAATGCCCCCAAATGGACTCGCTCAGCACCTTGGAGATGAGAGGAAATGAGATTGGGGGGACAAAATGGACAGTCAATAAAAGGAACAATTATATGGTGGCTTTTCTAGAGGGCACTTGCTGCCCTTCAGGAACTTTCCATGTAGCATATGATCTTTATACAGCAAATCTGTATTCTCTCATTTTTTTTTTTTTTCCTGCCATGATCTCTTTCGGAGAAATGAAACTGGAACAGATATTTCTGGAACTTATGAACTTGCTCCGAATGCAGTTCAGAAGATGTGAATCACAGTTTTAATAAACTCTGCAATTCCTCACTTTTTTTCAATTAACACTGAAATTGTACGTTTCAAGAATTAAACCAGATGACTCAAGGATGCCTTTAAAAAAAAAAAAGCGTTTCATACAATGGTGCCAGTTTTAATGGATCACTTGGAAGTACCCAGAAGCATCCAACTATATGGGAGAAACTTGTGTGTTTGAGTATTTGGTACATTGTTTAGTAAAAGGAGAAGTTTAAAAAAGCATCATTCTCCATCTCATCCTTTTCCTGAAGAGCCTAGGCTTTGTCTCTGAAGTTGTCACAAAAGCCCTAGTAGCTGTAGGGCATTTGGAGTTATCCAGTGCTTCAGTGAATGGCAAAAACAGAGAATAGTGGGGGTATGAAGGATGTTTGAGAGTTTCTGACTAGTGTAGGGCTAAAGACTTCAGCTATAGCGCCCTCCCCTTCTGTTTTGTCTGCAAGAAATTTAACAAAATACTCAATGGAAAGAGGGTGGAATCAGAGGGTTAGCAATAGGACTGAGGTTCCAGTTAAGAAATTTCCAATAAGTGGTAATTCTGTCAGATGATGGAGCTCTCTAGAATAGGCTCTGGTTAAAATAGTAACATTTTGGTGGCAAGTCACATTTTACTACATGATCATTTTGAATCTATATTGCATGACAGAAATCATTTGTATACAGTCACTTGTTACTACAGCTATTTTTGAGCATCATCAATGCCAGAGAAAATACATTCTTTCCCTTTTCCTTGCATTGACTAATATAGCATATTTTTCTCCCATAGCAGCAGAAATGATGGAAGAGTTGCATAGCCTGGACCCCCGACGCCAGGAACTGCTGGAAGCCAGGTTCACTGGAGTAGGTGTTGCCAAAGTAAGTAAAAGTGCCTGTGAGAGCAGGCACAAATACCTTGCACACCATTTTTTTTTAACAGAGAAGTAGTGCTGTTTCAATAAGGGGAAATTGTTCATTGGTAATTTTGCTTTGTCCACTAACTTATTTTAAAGTGTGTGTAAAGAAGAATATACAATACTGAAAATAACGAGTTTGCCTCTGTGTACATAGACATCATGGTGTGTGTGAGAGTTTGAAGGCTTGCTCTTTTTTTTTTTTTTTTTTTTTTTCTAGTATAAAAAAGCCATGCACCACACACATGTTTTGGAAGAGGGAGGATAGGCCATCTTTTTCCTATCTCAAAGGGTTTGTCTAGGAAACAGATGAGTAGCTTATTTGGACAGTTATGATAAACTTATCCATTCAGTTCTTCTTTGAGAACAACTGAAATTGTACAAGCTTAGTTATATCCAGGGCTCAACAAATTAGGCTATCTACTCGCCTGTGGTGAGTAGATTTTAGCCCAGCGGGGCCGCGCAGCGCGGTTAGCGTATGCACTTCCGTGTGGCTGGCAAGCCCTGGTCATATCAATCAAAACTTACTTATTCAAGGGTAAGCTTGTGTATAATTAGGTTTGCAACCTGCTAGCAAAATCATAGAATCATAGAGCTGGAAGAGACCTCAGGAGTAGGGATGTTAAATTGTGGTTATCTGACTAATCATGTGGTCGATACAATTTGTTTCGACTACACGATTAGTTGATAAGGACCACTCTGCAGAGCAGCAGCGAGGGTACCTCCGGGAGCTGACTCGAGCATTTTAAATGTAGTAAGAGCCCAGTTGGTCTTACTACATTTAAAATACAGAGGTACAGTGTCCTGGACCAGTGCGAGCCAGGACCGAGCAGTCCTGGCTTGCGCTGAGTCCAGCAGCCCCGGTTTGTGGCGGCTAGAGGCTGCTTTGGCACCAGCCCCTGTTCACGGTGAACAGGGCTGGCTGCCAGAGCAGCCTCTGCGCACAGCCAACTCGGGCCACCGCGAACAGGGGCTGCTTGGTGGTCTAGCTCCCTAATGGGGCCCCTGTGGATAGAGCAGCTTCCCCTTCCCTTCCCCTCCCCCCCCCCTCTCCGCTGCATGTGATAGAGGGGGCAGGCAGCACCATGGAGGGAGCCATGCCGCGGGGAACCAGTTTTTAAGCCTCTCCTAGAGGCAGCAAGGCAGGAGATGAAGTGAGTAGTTGATACTCTAGTCAACTATTCACTAACATCCCTACTCAGGAGGTCATCGAGTCCAGCCCCCAAATCCTACCCTTCTCTTAATATATGACTTTGTACCTGGATAACAGTTGCATTTCTTGAGTAAGGCATTCAGTAATAAGCTATGTCATTTCCGTCCTTTTGTTTAAAATTCCAGGATTGGATTTGATCTGTTTCTGTGTGTACTGTTATAGTGCCTATAATAGTGTGTCTTCATTTTTCTCACCATTCTAGTTCTCAAATAATGGTGGAACAGTGATAACATTCCAGTTTGCATACTTGAAAGTCACTGAGTTTCAAGCCATATCAAGCTAGAAAGGAAATATAATTAGATAACTTGTTGCTATAAAAATTCAGCCACCTGTTGGAATCATATTGGGCAGAGGAAACTAATTTACCTTTCTGTGATGAAAAGTACAAAATAAATACATCAAATTTTGGAAAGGTTATATCCAAGTTCATACTTTGTTTCTGACCTACTTTGTGCTTCAGTTGTATTATGAAGCCCTGGAAGTAGATCAGTAAGTAAACAGTTTGCAACTTAAAGGAAGCTGAGACCTGGTCCAAAACTGAAAAGTTTTAGTGTTAAAACTTTTGGTTTAGGTATGCTATTTTTTAAACTTATATGGTAATATAGGTAAAAACTCTAATGGGATGCAGTTTTTTGGGGATGAAGATGACTTACATTAGTATAGTTATTCCTGTTTTAGTATGGGGTGAGCTATACTGATATAATTGTGCTCGTTCTTTTGAGTAGTGGTGGTAGTGTGTTGGACCTCTTTAACTATAGTAGTATAGTTAAAGCAGTACACAGTTCTAATGCAGATATGCCCCTGGATTGTTGGCTTCTTGAGGGCAGGACCCTCGTCTGTCTATATTATACAGTGCCTAAATATTAACACTGAGGAGAATGTTAACTTTAGGAAGCCACTTCTTATAAAGAAATAACTTTAAGCACATCTAAGCATGCAAAACTCAATGTTACACAATTGGGAGAAAAATGCTCTTCCACTATTAAAGTTAATATTGAAAATTACCTTGCTAATTCTCATGCCATTGAACCATAAATTGCTGATCCACCTAAAGAGAACAACAGTTTCTCATTTCCTAGAGCACACAGGAGAGGACTGTATAGTAGTAAATTTGTCTAGTGTAAAATATGGCACTGTTAGTTTAAAACTATTATGTTTCTTAAAATAGAGAACATCTTGTGGTATAGCTGGTTTATTTATCTTCATACTCTTACTTGTTAATTTGCAATGGATCTCCCATCCACTCATGAAAATTACCAAGGTCCTACTAAAAATGTGTAGTCCTGTGGCACACTAGAGACATATGGTATCATGAGCAAAACCCCACTTCTTCAGTTGAGCTTAAGTGGAGATTCTACTGTTCTACGAGTATTAATCCTAGACACTGACTACTGGGCCAATGCTTTTTCAAAATCTCTGCCCGTCACATGCAGCACTGGCATCTGTATCTCAGTATTTCAAAGTGTCCATGTTTGGAAACACATTATATGGTTTTTAACAGATTTAAGAGAGATTTTAACTCTCTTCAGTTGGGTGTGGAAGGACAGATACTTCAAATGAATTAGTGCCATCTAGTGGGATTGGTACTCGCCTCTTGGGATGGAAAATATTCTATCTCCATTTGTTGCATAAAAGAAAAAGAGTGTAGCCTCAGATGCTATAGGGTGAATAGACCAGGCAGCTGTAACATTGATCTTCCTGCCTTTTATCAATTTGGCTTATTGCTTGGTATTTATTCATAAACTTACAGCACAAATCAGACCTGTGCAAAATAAATAAAGGCCAGTTTGTATTCTTATTACTAATTACAGCAAATACAGTTTTTTTTAACTTTTGTTCATTTGCAAACCTGGGAAAATAATGCTGTTTGTAAGAGTGTATTTCTACCTGAAAACCAGTGTGGACTCACTGAATTTCCTCAGCCTCAGAAATCAAAGAATATACCTTTTCATAAACCCTTAAAATAACTGAAGTCATAGGTGCAAGAAAACTTTGAGTCTAGGCAATTGATGGAATTCCATCTACATGAAACAGCCATGTAATTATATATCTTCAAAGCAGTGGTGACTTGTTGGGCACCTACCCTTGCCATACAGTTGAAATGTATTCCTTTATCAAATTCATGCCTATGTTGATTAAGGAAGGTCTTGCTTTCTGGATACCTGACATGAGTTGGTACTTGGTTACTTATTTTATAGCTCAGGCTTCATTTAGCAAATGAACAGTCACGTTCAATTGTGAGGCATACTTCTAGCTAAACCTGTTGGTAAGTGTTGAAGACAAGTTGTAGTTTGAATTCCTATGGATAACGTTTAGTTTTATGTGTCTTCTCTTGTGCCTCTTATCTCACTGGTGGCTAGAGTACAAAGTGGGATAATTCACAGGATTTGCACCATTTCACGGTATTTGTACCATGTAGAAAGTCGGCTATCCACTTGGTGCACGCACTTCAGCCTCCACTATTCAGGCTTAGCGGGATGCATCTTTATTGTGATAGACCCATCATCCACCAGCCTGCTATTGGGAATCAAAGTTCATAAATGAAACCTCAGTTTGCTTTGTTGTAGCTGTGCTGATTCAATCACTGTAAGAAAAACATTTCTAAACTTAAATCTGCAGTGCTTCAAAACAGCACTGACACGTGATCTAAATGTGTATGCTAAAACTCAAGAAGTATTGGTCTCTGTCTGTCACTACAGACCATCCTTGTTACAAGTCCAAAATATGTTCCAAAAAACTTGGACTTGTAGCAAAGCAACTTAAAGCAGGGATTTTATCCCCGCGGCTGACTTCTATTTGCGTACATTTCTCTTTTTTGCACAACTTAATAGCAGGAAATGGAAGAACTTATAACGCATCAGTTCCTACAAGCATCAATGACTTCAGTGCAGAAAGGATGTATACCGGGGTGACTTATAGTGGAGACACCCTCTACTATCTTTGAATTTGTATATAGGCAACATTAAAGAGGGATAGGGAAACAAATATAGCCTAAATTGTGTTTGTGTTATAGGATATCTAGATCAAAACATACTGTTTACATAAAAACAATAATATTTTGCAACTAGTTTTTGCTTTGTGAACCTTGTGTCTATCCAGAATTGCATATCCTTTATCACTAAAATAAGCTTAGCAACCAGGCATCTTGGTTTTAGCTGCAAAATTACCAATTGAGGACTGAAAGTTGTGTGGCATTTTTTTCCTCAAAGGGAAATAGTACTATCCCAAAAAGTCATTTAACATTTAATTAATGCAAATGTTCATATAAAGCAGCAGAGTAGGAGTTCTGAGGTTTATAAATGGATACGTCCATTGGCTAGCAAAGAAAGTACTTAGGGTTCTTTTTTCTCCTTTTTATCATTGGCTTGTTAATTATCTGGATGCATTTGAAATGAATGTAATAAGAAGCACGTACAGCTACTAAAGCACAGAAATGGAAGGTAGATCTGGGTTCTACTTCCACTTCTGTCACTGGTTCATTGTGGCCTTTTTTAGGTAAGTCACTTGATCTCTCTCCCTGCCTCCGTTTCCCTGTATATGAAATGAAAATACAACCTTACTTGTTGCAAGGTAGTGATGAATTTGTCAGTGCTTGTAAAGCTCTCTGAAATTTGTTGATGGAAGCTGCCACAGAAGTGTGCAAAGCATTAGCATATGTCTATGCTATGGAAGTTGTACTGTTTTTTGGTCAGTATAGGAATACCGACATCTGCAACAGTGTTATCTTATTTGGCAGCAGCACCCTTCTGTTG